GCAGAGAAGGGGTTGGTTAACCATTAATTACCAACCTTTCCTACGTGTATGGTGAATACTGGGGGCAGCTAAGATGTTACGTCTGTCCTGGCAATAGAGGCAGAGAGAGGTCATTGCATTAGGTAATTAGCACACCATTGCGCTCCCCAGGTCTCTTTCTGCAAAAGTGGGAAATGGTTTCTAAGAAGGGCAGGGACTCAACGTTACAGGGAAAGGTGTTTGGTTCTACTTGTTGCCTGAATGCCCTAGTGTTTGGAAGGAGTTTGCAGTTTGAACATTGTATTTGGCCCATCTCTAGCCATGGATTCCTTTGAACTGGACCTAGACATTCTACTACCATTGTAGATTAGATTAATGGAGATATCCCATCTCCTAGAACTGGAAGGGACCTTGAAAGGTCATTGAGTCCAGCCCCCTGCCTTCACTTGCAGGACCAAGTACTGATTTTTTGCCCCAGATCCCCAAGTGGCCCCCTCAAGGATTGAACTCACAACCCTGGGTTTAGCAGGCCAATGCTCAAACCACTGAGCTATCCCTCACCGCCCCCCCAGGGTTCCCTTGTTTTGACCCTTTGACCTTCACACCTGTCTTTGTTATATTTTCTGATGCCCACTGTAATTATTTGAGTTCCCGGGCTCAGTGCATCCTCCCCACAGGCTAGGGGAGGGTCCTTAACTTGCACCTGCCCACCTCCCCAGAACCCAATAGGCCCATTGTATGAAAAATGTGCTATTGCTAAAAGGTATAATGGAAAATGAAATAGTGTACCCACCAGCCCACAGATTAGTGACCAATATTCCTCCAGCACAAACTTATCCATGGAGGTGGCTAATCTCTGGGTTGGAAAAGGAAATTATAAAAGCAAATCCTACTTAAAGTGTTAAACTAGGTCACTTTCCATTTCCCATTGGACCTTTTGTTTGGTGCCTGAACCTGTGTGAGTAACTAGTAGACTGGGCTCTATATAAAAGTGGGATGATTTGTTCCATTCTGATTCCCCAACAAACAAGTCACGGCAGTTTGACAGTAGCAAGAGTAAACATGCTTGTGCTATAAAAAAGCAGGAAGGCAAGAAGAAGCCTTGAAATAAAGTTTTAACCCAGCCCCACTACCAAGCCTTCCACAGTTGGAGCTTGCAAAGAGACAGAACTGGTGTGGTCTGGTTTTCAGAGGTGTTGAACACCCGCAGTTCCCACTGATTTCAAAGCACTCTAACCCCCATTTGCTTATTCCCAGAGCTCAGGCACCTGCACTGTGAAGTGGAAGGGTCTTCTGGCTACTGATGTGCGAAGAGGCACACCAATGGGTCTCACCTCACTCACAAATTTCTATATTCAGCCTTGCCACAAGAAACAGTAATGAGAAAAAAGGCTTGGCCAGGCCACGTGTGCAAAGATCCACACAGCATCCGGAGACTAGAGGACAGATTTTCAGTCTTCACAAATCATTTTCTTTTTGTGCCAACAATGTTTTTTTCCCCTTTTCTACAGGTGTGTATTTGCCAAAC